CTGCAATGCATCCTGACCGGCCCCGTGTCCACACGCTTGCTTCCCTGGTGTCTACACTGCAGCCGGAGCGATTCTTTTCCAGTACAAACCTGTTCATATCATTCTCCTCTGACGACCTGTCACCACACTCAGAACAGTATTCTGTTTATCCATGGGCCATAATGTCCTCGCTCACCCGCCGTGCACACCCTGCTGGCCATCGAGTCGCGGCTTCGTCTCAGCTCAGTGGGCCACGTGAGCCCTGGGCTGCTGCTCGAGTGAGCCTCCGGGCCTCTGCACGGCTCCTGCCCCCAACACCCGCAGAGTGCTCCCCTCATTTGGGTTCAGGTGTCTGCTCAACTGACTTTCCTTTTTTTTTTTTTTTAATGTTTTATTCATTTTTGAGAGAAAGACAGAGCATGAGCAGAGAAGGGGCAGATAGAGAGGGAGATACAGAATCTGAAGCAGGTTCCAGGCTGCGCTAGCTGTCAGCACAGAGCTGGACACGGGGCTCAAACTCAGAAACCATGAGAACCATGACCTAAGCCAAACTTGGACGCTTAACCGACTGAGCCACCCAGGCACCCCTAAACTGATTTTTCTAATCACTGTATCTAAAGCACCATCCCCCGCCCCCATGCGTTATACCACTTTATTTTTCTCCACTTCCCTGAACGCCACCTGGTGTCATGTATTCATTTGCTGTCTGCTTCCCGCAGGGCACAACACAAGCTCCGTGAGGACACCGGGGCCTCTGCTGCAGCCCCAGGGTCTGTGACAGTGCCTGGCACCTAGCGGGCTACTCAGTAAAGACAAGTTGAAGGGACGAACGAATTTTAAATGAGCACTTTCTTTGTGCCAGGCTCTGTACCCGGCAGTGGGGCTTAGAGACGAGTGACAGGCGGCACCAAGCCTTTTCCCTGTAGGGACTGAAAACCCGGCAGTGAGGGAGACCACCCACAACAAGGAGAAAGCGGAGGGTTCCCGGGAAACCCGAGCGGGGTAGTCAAACGAGGCGGGAAGATGGGGGTCAGACCCTGATGGACCCCGAACTCCACACTAAGGGCCTAGGCCTCACTCCCAGGCGCCACCACGCATCACCCAGCAGCAGCGGCAAGAAGTAAAGAACCCGAAGTTAGAGCCGCCAGGATGCACGCCACAGGCTTCTAGGCGCTGCCAGTGCTCACACGCAGTGTGCCAGTGCCCACAGAGAGAGGAGGAAGGGGCCGGAAGAAAAAGACGGTGACTTGGTTTGGGACAAGCTGCTTGTGGCACCTGAGGCTACGAATGTCACAAGCGTTTCTCTGGGGGTCGGGAGCCCCCTGACTGACTTGGAAAGTGTAGCATCCTGCTCCCCAGCCAGGGGCTCGCGAGGTCATGGGGGCTGTGCCACGCGAGTCACACAGGCCCCTGTGTCAGCTGCGGTTCGCCTACGCCGGGGGCCCCTTACCACCGCTGTGGGGTGAGGTGTTCTCTGTCCCGCTTTCCTACAAGCGATACCTGTTATGCGGGGAAGTCTGACACAAATGCAGAGACTTCCCAGCGATTTTTTTCCCTAGTCAGTGGCTTCAAACTCCAATTCTAAACAGGGAGACAACATTACGTACAATCTTAAACATGACAAAGTTCTGAAGGACCGGCACTGCTGCTGCTTTCCACTTCCCGCTGTCGTGGAAATCACACGTGAGTACACGTATATACAAACACGTGCACCTACGAGCACGAGGGGGGTATTTTGAGAAGGGAAGTAGGCAGAAAAAAAAATTGAAGTAAAAAAGTACACAACTTCTGTTTAACTGTAAAGGACACCCACAGGCAACAGAAGAGTAGCGCCCGTCTCACAGCCAAACCCGGCGTCAGGGTTCGCCAGCGCCTCACGCATCTGGCTGACGGGCTTGGGATGGGGATGTGCCCAGATTTTAGTGATGTTGTCTTTCAATTAGTCAATCACCTTCTTTCGCTTCAGCCTCTGATCCCTCCCTGAGGAGTGGAAGATACAGAAGCAGGAAGTAACGGGCTAATGCCTTAAAGGGCTCCGAGACTTTTTTTTTTAATCTTTATTTTTGAGAGAGAGAGAGACAGAGACAGAGACAGAGAGAGACAGTGAGCGCAACAGAGAGAGAGGGAGACACAGAGTCCAAAGCAGGCTCCATGCTCCGAGCTGTCAGCCCAGAGTCTGACACGGGGATCGAACTCCCAAACTGTGAGTTCATGAGTTGAGCCGAAGTGGGACGCCCAACTGACTGAGCCACCCAGGCGCCCTGAAGAACTCTGAGACTCCTAAAGTCAAATGGCCCATGGAAATTACTAGCCAAATGGGCTTCACGCCTGGGAGCTATGTAAAATTTGCTCCTGTGGGGAGAGAGGGCAAGCATCGGGAGAGTCGAGCACAAACACAGTGAGAGGTTAGCTCTGTTACACAGAACATTCCAGAACCGGAAGTATCCACTTCCCTAACACACTGGATAAATAAGACTGCTGCACCACAAGAGCCAAACCTTGGAAACAAGGGGTCTCTCTGATTCTGCAAAACATTTTAATATTCTTCCTGTGGGCCAGGGGAAGGGAGTTGGTTCATTCCCAACCACTCCATCTCTCTTCCTGTCTCTTACGCACCCGCTGTGCCAACATACTCAGGAGTGGCCTCCCAAGGAAGGACATGGAGGGCAGGGGATGTGCCCAGCAGGGCAGCGGCTGGCTGTCACGATGACAGCTGGCCTCCCTCTCTCCAGTCCCTAATCTATCAACGTGGACTCCTGAGAGAAGACTTCAAAGAATCTTTACGTGGATGAAATCTGGACAAAAAAATGCTCTATGGCTAACAACCTTTAAACATAATCGGCCCATTCAATAATGTCAGAAACGGGTGCCTGGGTGTCTTAGTCGGTGGAGCGTCCGACTTTGGCTCAGGTTGTGATCTTGTGGTTTGTGAGCTCCAGCCCCACATCTGCACCGATAGTGCAGACCCTCCTTGGAATTCTCTCCCCCTCCCTCTCTGTTCCTTCCCTACTTGTGCTTTCTCCCTCACAAAATAAATAAACTTTAAAAAAAAAAGGAAAAAAAAGAATGTTAGAAACAAAGGAAACACAGTTGTACAGCATAACAGAAATCCTCTAGACTAGAAGGCCCCTAATTTATCTGTGAGGAAAACCAAGCTCTGGAGACGCAGAGACTCACCCATACCACCTAGCATGTGGGGGCTCGGTGGGGGCTCGGTGGGGGGCTGGGACCCACAGATCCACGGCTGCTGAGAAAGTTAAATACACAAATGACTACAGCACTGGCAGTAAGTACCAGGAAAACCTGGAATCAGAAAGCTTCAAGAGAAACAGGTGTGAGAAGTCCCAGCCGAGAGAAATGTAAATAGTAATATACTTTACAGAAATGAGCCCTATGGTTGGGACACTTCCCAGAACAAGAACACAGTATTTAAAAGTCATGGTTCTAAACCAATTAATTAATTAATTAAAAATTAATGAAATAAAAGTAAAAGATTTGAACTTGGACACGATGTGACTGATCTACAATGTTGTATTCCGCAGCAGTGAATTCTTTACTTGCATGCACAAATTTTTATGAAAAACCAGAAAACAAACTCATAGTAAATGAAAGAGCAAAGACCAGGCAAAACCCAGGAATTCTACTGGCCTTTTTTTTTTTCTAATGGGCTTTTAGGATGAATGGAAGTTCAAAAGTCAAGAGCAGATCTGTAGTCGGGCAGCTGGAAGCATGCAGTAAGCCAGTTCTGAGCGCCTCACATTTCCATAGTCTCTCCTACCTGCTCAGTCTCTTACAACTACGCAAACAAACAAATGTTTTCTACTAAATCAAATGCATCCCAGACAACGGTTTCTACTTCAAACCTGGCTTACTGTGGCATCGCCAAGCCAACCCCAAAATAAACACTGGCCACTGAAACAACTTCCTTTATGAAAGTAAGACCATTCTTTCCAGGCACACGGGGGAACTGCATTCATTTCCACACACAGATATACAATTTATAAGGTGAGAAAACATACCAGGAAAAAAACCTCATCACTTCTTGGATAAAGTTCAGAAATAAAGGATTTCTGTCATGCTATACAGTCTGTATTTTGTTTTCTTGATTTCAGACGACCTTAACTGGATTCAACCACACTGTGGGTCATGAAACGCAGTCCACTGGACAGAAACACAAATGGGGTCCCATGCATAGAACATAAAGACATTCCACTAATGTAAAAGCCAGACATGATGGTGGGAACAGCGTGGGTGTTTCCTTGGCCACACAACCTGAGCGAACAGCTCACCTGAGGCGGTCTGGACTGAGTGCAGAGCCTGGGATGAGAAAACCACCTGGCATCCAGCCGCAACTAAAAGGAGGTGCCTATGTAGGATCCTGAGAAGCCTGAACGGAACGGCCACGCGTGACTTTCCGCGCCACACATTCTGGATGGTGGAAAGCCGTGCCGGTTCACGCGTATCCCACTGACCTATGCAGAGTCATTTCCTGAGGGTGTCATCTTCCCAACAGCCCAAGCCACCCGGGAAAAGCTGTCCTGCATTCTGGGTGCGAAACGTCTTTAAATCCCTATTGCTAAGGGTTCAGGTGTCAGACTCTGTGTGGGAGAAGCTACGCAAGCCATTCACGGCACAAAGCCCACTGTTGACAATTTATTTGGTGGCTTGATGACACAAGGCTTATCCGTGATTCAGCAGCCTATGCTCTCTGCAGGAGTCTGAGGGTCTTCTCTCCTGTGAAGACAGAAGACTACCACCCCAACAGCCCTATTCGTCATTCTGTATGAACCCTGTACAAAACAGGCAGTAAACGGCACTTTCTTGGAGCTGCCAGGGCCTGAGTGGGTTCAACAGGGGATGTGATTAAAAAACAAACCCTTTTGGGGTTTGGGATCTGGTATGCTTCCACTCCTCCTGCCCAAGGAACGTCAGGGCCAAATAAGCAGCACCAGACACCGGCAGGCAGAATCCCCCCGCACTCCACTACAATCGTTGAGTCCGAGAGCTTTTGCTTTACTTACTTGTATTTTAAGAGCAGCCACTGAATTAACCAGAGTCCTACGAGGATCATGCCATTAATCTCACAGATAGAAAAGGCCCACTGCACGCGGTTAAAATGGTCAAAAAACGTGTCCGGTAGCGGGGGCTGCACCTCCTTGGGAGGTACTCGCTCGTGGACGACCGAGATCATCACTGTGGTGAGGATGAAGCAGGAGAGCGCGTACAGGAAGGCCAGGCAGGTCTTGCCCCACTCCATGGGGTACTGGGAGCGCTCGGGCTCCGGCATGGGGATCTTGATCATCTCCTTCCTGTACCCGTTGGGTATCCCGTTGGGCTTGGCTTGGAGGCCGAAGCTGCCGGTGGAGCCAGGGCCGGCCGCACCTGCACCCAGGTGCCCATTGGCGTGGCCGTTCTTGTGCGCCTCCATGTGCTGCTCCACCTTCAGGGTCTCGATCATGTCCAGGAGCCGCTGCCCGCTGTCAGCCGACACGCGGCACAAGGGCGGCCGCGCGAAGTCCTCCCGGGTCAGGCCAATCAGGTCCTGGCCTGTGAAATGCTCCAGGGGCTCACAGTACTCGGGCATGGCGTGCTCCAGCAGCCACTCTGCCACCTTCTTGGGGGACCAGTACGCCACCTCCTTCATGGTCCCAGCGGGCAGGGGTCAGCGGTCCCGCGGTGGCGCGCCCATGCTGCCCGGCCTCATGCCGGGGACGTAAGAGGCCAGACGCGTGGGGCTGCTCCTGCAGCCCACATGCAGCTTTCCGGGGCTCTGGGCGCCCGAGCGTGCTCACCTCATGGTGCACCGGGGGTCTTCCTTCTGCGGAGGCAAAAGACACAGTCAGGAGGGGGCCACACATCAGTCCCAGAGGGGCGCAACAGAGAACCACCTACTGGGGAGAAGGCGCAGCGCGCACCCAGAGAACCACCTACAGAGAAAGGCGAGGCTAGCCGCAGGGCCCGGTGCAGGGTCTCCCTGGCCCATGGTTCCTTGAACGAGCCTTAGATTAGACCAGGACGGATATCAAAGGTGTGTTTCCTAAGCCAGCACTCAGCAGTGCTCTGGATATGCCTTGGTATGGGTGGGGGATTCCCTCTGTGCTTACTTGCTTTCTAAAACAATTTGAAATAATGTGGCAAATTGGCCTAATCTGCCATACTATTGGTGGAGAAATGTCTTCAAATAAGGGAGCGACTTTACAGATATACAAGAGAATCAGAGAAATGTTGAGCTTCGAGGCCATCTAGTCCAACAATTTCATAGTCCTACACACAAAAAGTACCAAAGAATCCGTTTTTCCAAATGTGGAGGCATTTTCTACTCTTCTCTCACCTGTTTTTCTCTAATAAGCATGTATTAGTGTGTAACAATCACTTAAAATCTAAAACAAGTTAAAAGTAAAGACCTCGTTCTAGAACTAATGATGGTGGTTAGTGAAATATGGCAGTCACCAGAAGACCAAGTGAAATTTGACTCAACATCTCCCATGGGTTACCCACTGGGTGAGCTCCAGCTTCTTCATCTATAGAACAAACACAGTCAAGTATCCCCTTCACAGAGTTGTTGACACTTGAAAAACTGTACGTAAATCTAGCACTAAAAGTGGTCTATTGATCCCATATCTTTTTTTCTCTTTCTCAAATTTTCTACCCTCTCCAATAGCTACTGTCTACCTCACTATGAAAACATCTTGTCCAAGAGCTGGCTAACTTTTTTTCCTCAAAAGATGAATGTGGTGTTAACTACAAAAAAAAAAGTTGCACAGATTAATAGGTTTAATGGCTATAAATTAGTGATGACAGTGTTTCCCGAGTATGCTTTGGAGAATAATAATTGGATAAAATGCTCTGTGCTTTAGAAAGACTACAAACGAAGGCCAGGAACTGTACAAGCTCTCCTAGTGACAGTGGTATCGTTAGCAGTCAGCATTGCACGTTAGTTAGAAGCTCCAGGAAATCCTCCAGGGCCAGAACTGGTCACCAGGATTTCTCCAATGGACTTCACTGAGACTATCTCTCTCGCCACCACTTTCCTTCCCCAGTGATTCCTGTCAATGCCCCAGGGGGCACATTGGGCAGTAATGGCACAAACAAGACCCAAATTCAGGTCTTCAATTTCGAGGTCCACACTCGTCTCTACTGAGCCCTAAATCAGAACCTGGAACGAAGATGGACTGCCATCCACTCCCAATTTCCCCACCCACGTACAACCAATCGAATGGCAGCAAAGCTCAAGCTATTCCAGGCCTTGCACAACAGTTGGGTGTTCTCTCTTCTGGGCATCCACATCGCTGTTCCACTGTCTGGTGTTATACGTGTCTGTCTGCACTTCACCCACAAGACCATGAGTGACCGCGGAAGGGCCGCCATCTTGGGCATCCACATACTCACAATGCACAGGCTGGGAGGTGCTCACTCGACATCTACTCAGTATCGCAGGCCATGTCCCTTAAGTCTATCAACTTGGAGGCGATATCATGGAAAATAGAACCTACTGACATTGAAAACTGCTTTAAAACAATTTGGATGGTCAAGGAGGATGTGGTGGGCATTCTTCAGAGAGAAATATGCAACAGGAGTGGACCTCTGGCCATCTGAGAAGCACTAGAGAAGAGCTTCAGTCGTCGCCAATACTGACCGGTGACAAGAAGACATAACCCAAATGGGACTCCTGCTGGAAGGTCCTGCAGGAAAGGTGACCTTGCCAGCTACCCCTCGGCAGAGTTATGGTAACAGATGAGGGATACGTGGAAGTGGCTACAAGAACTCTAGAGAAGAAATCCTGGTGGAATGTTCAGGCTCAAGGGAATGAAAGGGTTTTTCATGTGGCCTCATTTCCCCTGCCTGATGTGGGAAGTCGGCCAGGAGGGGAAATCCCGGGGGACCACAGAGACCAGACCGATACCAACTTGTTATTTCACTTCTTTTTTATAATTTTTATTTTTTATGATTTTTTTTTTTTTTTTTTTTTTTTTTTTTGAGAGAGAGAGAGACTGAGCACTAACGGGAGGGGCAGGGAGAGACACACAGAATCTCAAGCAGGCTCCAGGCTCTGAGCCGTCTGCACAGAGCCCAAAGTGGGGCTCAAACTCACGGAGTATGAGATCATGTTCACTTCTTTCTGATGAGGAAATTGTCGGATAATCTCCTCCTAAGGCTTAACCATCTTTAAAACAGAAATTTTCCTATCATGTAGGAGACAAGAGAGGGCCACCAGAGGCACACACACAGAGGAACACTAATGTCACAAAATTGAGTCCATCCTGTTTCTGGCAGCCACAGGGACTCACAAGACACAGCAAGATGCAGAGGTGGCTTCCCCTGGGAACAGGACAACACAGTCGTTCCCTCCCTGAGGCTGGCCGGTGCTTCCCCACAGCGCACACTCCTCATGTACTCCTCTCCAGCAAGTCCAAGATCTTCCCTAGGCCCTTCAGGCCCCTCCCACTCCCGCCCCCTCCCTGAATCCAGACACCCACTGATACCTGCGACCACCTAATCTAACTGGCTTGTGTGCCCACAATAAGGGCCCCCATGAGAGTCATGGAGGTGGGAGTCGAGCCCCAGCCTGGCTACAGCCCTTCCTGACACAGTCCTGACCCCTCACTGCCAAGCCTCAGTTTTCTCCGGAAAATAGGATTAACCACAACCTGCCCACCTTTTTCACAGCTTCTGCTGTGAGGACCCCATCAGGGAAAAGAAATGAAAGCTACTGATTATGCCAAGAAATAGGTCTTGTTCTTCTGCTAATGTCCTGCTTGCTTCCTGATGCCCAAGTGGGCCCCGGTGGGTGACATTTCGTGAATAGGGGCTGAAGTTGCACTTCCAAATGGCATTTTTAAAAACCCAATCATTCTGAAACACGAGCTCAAACAGTCTTCCAAATTCCCTGAGAAAAGAAACCTTTGTTTTTCAAGCAAGCTTTGAACCTTGGAAAGAAAGGCCTCGATGCTATTTTCCTGCAGATGATTTTAAAATCACATAAAAGGGGAAAAGAAAGTTTCCATGGAAGCAACTACCAGGCAGCTACCCAATACCCCAAAGGTCACTGCTCAAAGAAGATGACTTACTCAGAGACCTCAGGGCCCAGCTGTGGGGAACAAGGTGGGAGAGGGACTTCCTGCTGGCCTCACACACTCACTCTATTTATTTATTGAAAAAATTTTTTAACATTTATTTATTTTTGAGAGAGAGAGAGAGAGAGAGAGAGAGAGAGAGAGAGAGAGAATGAGTGGGGGAGGGGCAGAGAAAGAGACACACACAGAATCTGAAGCAGGCTCCAGGCTCTGAGCTGTCAGCACAGAGCCCGACATGGGGCTTGAACCCAAGAACTGTAAGATCATAACCTGAGCCCATGCTTACCTGACTGACCCATCCAGGTACCCCACATGCTTACTATAGGGTAGGATAGGATAAGATAGGCTGCAGACTTTCTGAGAAGTGCTTTCCCATCTAGACCTGGAAGACTGTATGTCAGGCTGAAAACAACTCCTACGACTCCTGTCCAGAAAAGCCACCCCGAATCCATTACTGGGAAAATGTTCAGAAATAATGCAGAGCTTGAAGCATTAGACTCAGTACTCAGAATGCCGGAGTAATAAGAGAATAAAATCTGGACATAAGCTCATTATATCCACGAATGCCAGAAGATGAGAGAGGAAGAGGTGCCGGGACCCCCGTTCCTTGGCAACTTTCAGACAGAAGTGACCCGGAGTCCAGGGGGCTCTCGCACAGAAGAGCAGAGTTGGTCTGGAGCCAGACCAAACCCAACGTGCGTTCAGGGCCTCCCACTGCACACACCTGACGGCCTCACGGAGGTGAACACGTGTGGGGGCACTCTAAAGTCTGTAAACCCAAATTATGGAATCCTACAAGATTAAGGGCAGGAATACCACCACCTATTCATTGAGGATTCTAAACCTAGTAGGGTTTTATCTCAGATCTCCAACTAAATCAAAAAGAAATCTGCTAATACCATCTGGCTCCAATTCTTAAAGCAGATATTTTAGGCTTTAATATTATACAAGCCATCAGATAATGTGCCACAACACATGATAAACTATTTATATAGTTCATTATCAAGGCCAGCTCTCTACAACCAGAAAAACAAGTTAAAGCAATTACGTTGGTAATGAAAACAAAACATTAACCAAACAAAATAAGTTATTGATGACTACGTGTTTATCCCTACTTAAAAAGAATCTACTATATTATCTTATTGTCTGGCATTGTCTAGAAATAAGACTTCGTTTTGTTCACAAAAAGCTACGGTATGAATTAAGCAATGAACACAAGTTTTCAAGAAATTAAAACATCACAAAATGCATAATTCAACGTGGAACAATTGCTCAGAAAATCTGAGTTATTCTTTTTTAACTTTTTAAATGTTATTCATTTTTTGAGAGAGAGAGAGAAAAACACAAGCGGGTGAGGGGCAGAGAAGGAGGGAGACACAGAATCTGAAGCAGTCCGCAGGCTCTGAGCTGTCAGCACAGGCCCGACGCGGGGCCTGAACCCACGGACTGCGAGATCATGACCTGAGCGGAAGTTGGATGTTTAACCACCTGAGCCGTCCAGGCACCCCTGAAAATCTGAGTTCTAATAATTACCCTGTACTTTCCTCCAATCCCAGGGCTTCGGTTTCCGGTGATGGAACAATTTATTCCATCTGCCTGTTGCATTAGTTTCAGGAATGTGTGTATGACTGTGCTTTGCATAACATAGAACAATACATAAAAATATAAAAACTTATTATACTGAACGTCATTTAACCTTTCAATATACAAAGAACGTATTAAAATAAATGCCATGAAATTAAGA